TAACTAATTCAATGGCGTACTGATTATCTAAGCATGTATATAGTAACCGTAGAAATAAAGACATTTTGCAAATAGTTATTTGAGTGTTCTTTTGTGGGTATCACAGACTTATTTTGGGGTCATACTATCCTTGGAGAGTAAGAAATATTGGAAATTTGTATTGATAATATGTTGCAGCAATAAAAAAGGACCTTTAAGAAGGGTATTTGTTTCATGTGAGCACAAAATGTAAATTTACGCCACTACATAGTTTATTAAAAAATTCAATAAAAATACTTCCATTTATTGAAACTTCTGGTACTTGTAGACTAAAACCGCCTCTTTCTGCTACGTTCATAAAATTTTTGACATATTTGAAATTTGAACCGGTAAAGATGCATGTTTATATATTTCAGAGCTATATTATATGTTTTGTTATTAAAATTCAGGTTTAAAATTCATGTGTAAAATTCAGGTTCAATTTAAAATATAAAATCTCTAATAACTAATAAATTACGCAATATACTAAAAAATACGGATATTTATATAGTAGAAAGACTTCAGTTATTTCTGATTAAATTTAAAGTTTAAAATTAATGGTAGTTTTCAGTAGAATTTAAAATGTTCGCCTCTGCACAATTACAAGCGAATTCAAAATGTTGCGTTGCAGGAGCGTAAAAATTTACTCTAGTGCCTCTAAGACATGATAAGGCTGAGGGTAGGCCTATAATGCTAAAATTTAATCGTGTCTGTATATCCAGTTTATTGTATAGAGGAGTCATTCTCGGATCTCTTACTTGAGACTTTAAGGAATAATTCTTTATGGAATTTCTTGCATTCATCACTCATTGCTCCATTTGTCCCAAATACCAGTGGGCCAGGCGTAAATGTTCCATTTTCCAATTCGATAGTACGGTCGTTGTATGCTCGTTTCTTCTCTTGCTCGGCGTTCTTTAGCACTGACTTGGTGTGTCGTGAGGTTTATGCATGTGAGATTGAGCATTTGCATGCGCGACGCGAACATAAAAAAATGCTGTTTTCCCCCTTTTCCGATTTGAAGATTTGCCAGTCATTTTCATTTTTAGATTTCATGGCCTTTTTCTTTAATAATAAGTTCTTATTTCGCTTACTAGGAAGTACTTGTTTCGTAATCCAAGGGGTACGCTTCTTACCAATTTTACGGGTTTTAAGTGATGCATGTTTATCAATAATTTCAGTAAATTTATTTTTCCAAATATACCACATTCGGTTGCAATCCGTGTATGAATCCAAATTATGGTTTTCGGACGATGCTATATCGCGTAGGAAATTATCTTCATTGAAATTTTTGAAATCACTGAACTCCAAAATATGTACGTTCCTCTCCTTTTAACGATGGGAATAACAAAATGCAATATATTAAATAATGGTCACTAATCATTATTTTGGAGACTCCTGCTAATATATAATATTTTCCTTTTTATTGGTATAGAAATGGTCAATTAAAGATACCGAATTCTTAGTTTCCCTTGTAGGTTCGTCTATCAATTGTTTGTATTGATATAAATTAGTAATGAAATTGAGTTCTTTCGTCATATGATCTAGATTTTTGTGTAATAGATCACAATTTATATCACCCAGGATAATGCTCTTTCTCTTCCGTATCAATAAGCCGTAGAATGTTTTCGAATTTTGTTAGCAAGTCAATGGGCGAATTAGGTGGTCTGTACCACGTTGAAACTAGAAAAGGTTCGGTTTTATATTTATGAATTTCTATCGTAAGAGCTTCAATATCATGATGACCCAAGTCAGGTCTTATCAAAAAGTTAATTGTATTTCGTATGTAGAAACCAACACCCCCACCAGATCTATTCATATTCTTAAAAACCCAGGTATATAGCCCTCCAGGGAAATTAAATATAGGGGTACATCAAAATCCATTTTATCTAGTTGTTGTTTAGTCATGCATACTCGTAATTCGTCATTCGTAATTCGTCATGCCGAAAACATTCAACGGCATAACCATGCATGCAAGTTGAATGGTTATTCCGAAGACATTCAACTGTCTTCGGCATCAACTGTCATCCCGGTTGAATATTTATGCCAAAGACATTCGACGAAATTCGACGGCATAAACAGCCAATTTGTATGGTTATGCTGAAGGCAGTCAACTGTGATCGGCATAACCATGAGACAGTCAACTGCCTTCCATGTTGAAAGTTTATGCCGAAGACCGATTCAATGGCGTAACCTGCCATGTTGAATGATTATGCCGAAGATATTCAACGGCATGAACATCCAAGTTGAATATAGTTATGCCAAAAACTGTCAACTGAGTTCGGCATAAACGTAAAACAGTCAACTGCATGTCTTCCAAGTTGAACGATTTTGGCGACACAAATCAGCTGTCTTCGGCATAACATCAGTCAGTCAACTGTATTCCAAATCGAATACTTATGCGGAAGACAATCAACGGTATAACCATCCAAGTTGAATGACTATGCCGAAAACAGTCAACTGTCTTCGGCGTAACCATAAGGCAATCAATTGTCTTCCAAGTTGAATGTTTATACCGAAGACGTTCAACAGCATAACCATCCGATCTAAGTTGAATGATTATGCCGAAGACATTCAACGACATAAACATCCTATTTCAGTGAATAGACACACAGTCAACTGTCATGCTAGTTGAATGTCTATGCCGTAGACATTCAACAGCATAACTATCTAAGTTGAGTGATTGTCGGCCAAAGACATTCAACGGCATAAACATCCAAATTGAATGGTTTTCACGACATGCACAAATCAGCTGTCTTCGGCATAACCATCAGACAGTCAGCCAGTGGCGTGCTGGGTACTATTTTTCTGGGGGGGGGGGCCAGTGGGCTATCAACCAATATGCGCCCCTATAATGTGACGCTTGATAAACGAGGGCCGAAGGCACGAGCCGAACGCCGCAGGTGCGAGATGTTCCTAGGGGGGTCCGGGGGCATGTCCCCCCCGGAAAATGTTTAAATTTAGAGTCTCTGAAATGCCATTTTCTGGACTTTGGGGGGAAGATTTGACAGAAATCTGATGGTCAGGAAACGAGATTATAACGAGTCGAAATTTGCAATTTGGTTAGAATTTCCGTAGAGGAACTTAAATTGGTACGGTATCAGTTTTACTATAATCTTTATTTTAGATTAATTGTGGAGGAATAAAGTCACTCGTTGAGTATATTTGTATAAAATATTTTGATTTATAATAAACGCCGATCTCACTAATAACTTGTAATGTTTTACTAAAACGGTGTGCTTGCACTTTATTCATACGAATCTGTCATGTTTTTTTGTCAAAACATACAAAAAGAGTTTTAAAATACTATACAGTATATCACTTGATAGTTAGTACTATTTTTCACGTGTTGTATCGAATGTTGATAACGTCAAGTATTGCCCATATCGATCGATCGATGTTCTGCAATGTCTTTAATGTTTCAATAACCATTGTCGATTTCTATAGCATTTCTAAACATTTTCATATAAGCGCCTTCGACAATTCTGATGTCAGATCTCCAAGGCGGTAATAATCTGCTCCTTTTTCAAAGACATTAAAATCTTCCGTTCAGTGCCGGTCATAAGTAGCAATGCTTCAAGTTTTTCTTGAGACAAAGACGAACGTGTGCGGGTTTGATTGGAATTGCAACTGCGATCGCGTAAACTTTACAAAGAGTTGGAAATGCATCAACTAGGTGGTAATCAGGATTCGACAAAATTCTCAGAGCTTCTAGAAATGATTGTTCATCCTTGTCCTTTGGTTCTTCAGCAGTTCCGTCGTCGCTTGACTCGCTGTCGGTTTCTTCTTCGTAGTCTTCGGTTTCAGATTCAGAACCGGAGTCTAAATCAGAATCTTTCTCTTCTTCTTTCGGTCTTCATCAAAAATCACTGAACACTTCGATTTTTTAAAAGATTCTGCAAAGTTGAGCAGTTCATCTGCACATCGGTGCTAGTCGATGTCATTGGTACACCATGCCGTTTAAGGTTTCCTTGCCTGGCTGCCAAAAGGGCGCGCGTTTCAGCATTATTTTACTACTCACATTACTCGATGAGTTTATTGAGTTATGATGTTTCTTGTTCAAACAACTAAATTGCGTACACAACTTTACATTATCATAACTATCTAATTTGCGCCGCTTTCGTGATTCGTGAAGCAATATAAAGGCATAATATTATATAAGGGCATAATACAAGCAAAAAAGGGCATAATTCCCGTGATCGCTTCGAAACCTGGCCAATATTCCGGTAATGCGACATTGCGTGTGATCACTGCACTGTAAATTAAAAAGGGCTGAAACGACCCCAAAAATGGGGCCAAAACGGTGACCGCAAAATAGATCTTTTTTTGGGGTCAAAATGGCACCTATAACAATGCGGCCCCTAGGGGTGATTTGGCCCTTCCAGTGTAAGGGCTGTTTCAGCTTTTAGTAGGAGCTGTTTTGGCAAAAGCAGGGGCTATTTCAACTTTCAATAGGGGCCAATTCAGAAAATTAGGGGGCTATTTTGGCATTTCGAGGAGTTAATTTGGCTCCCATTTGTGGTCATAATGAACCCCAAAAAGCGTTGATTTGGCTCGCTAACCGGAGCTGTTTTGGCTACTGAGTTACAGAGTAGTTTCAGCCCCAATGAAGAGCTGCTTTAGAACCGACGGAGCCGATATAGCTTTTCTAATGGTGTAGTTTTTTAGCACCCAAAGGGCCAATATGGTTCTATTTCTGAGCCATTATAGACCACAAGAAAGGCCAATTTAACCCCTACTTTTTTAACCAGAGCTATTTTGGCCCTCTCAGAAGAGCACAGTTTCAGCCCCAAAGAAGAGCTGCTTTAGAGCCGAAGGAGCTAATATAGCTTTTTTCATGGTGTAGTTTGTAGCACCCAAAGGGTCAATTTGGTCCAATTTCAGAGCCATTATAGATCCAAAAGAAAAGCCAATTTAACCCCTACTTTGTTAACTGGAGCTGTTCTGGCCCTTTCAGAGGAGGGCAGTCTCAGCCCCAATGAAGAGGTGCTTTAGAACCGATCGAGCTGATATAGCTTTTTGGTGGTGCCGTTTTATATAGCATTTAAAGTCATGTGGATTTGGTTGCGCTCTTGCATGTAGACGTATTCTACATGTATATAATGAATCAGGCAAAAATATTGGGGTTTATTTGGTCTTGATTAAATTATTACAATTTCTCCAACAGACCAAGATTGGAATGAATTATTGCAATATAAGTTGAGATAAATGTTCCAATTTCTGTATTATAAACACAATACTATAACTAAAATTACAATATACATGTACAGTAGTCAGTATTATGGATCTCACCGAAATGTGGGAACCATCAAAAGATTCGTACATACTGTATATGCCATATGGCTCCGAAAGTTTACAATTCTAATTTTAAAGAGCAATCAACTTGTGATAGCAATAGCAGGCGCGGTTGTTAACATGAACGCAATACGAATAATTTCTAATACATTACCACAGTTCGGTGAGATGTGAGACAATACACACATTCCATCAATAACATTAACTTGGGTTAGCATATGTCAACATAACCCTCAAAAAGTGTAAATTACTGTAGTACTAATACTCATGCATGAGTCATGACAAGTCATTGAAGAGGGCTGTGACCCTCACTGGCAGTTGTATATGCCATTTTCTGTCTTGCCCATGCACTACTATAGTCTGCAAAGCAGACAAGATGCTCTTCGTGTGGCAGTACTCAATATTGAAGATGTAAAAACTTGCCAATAAGGCGATAATTGCATCAAAACAACTGTTGCTTGTTATGGAACTTTCATCCTTTCCCTCGATAACGTATGATTGACAGTTTCTAGTCGTATTCTAGCAAGTTCGATGCCAACGACCACAATATGGGTTGTGATAAGTTTGAAATTGTATCATTTGCATCTTCAGACTCCTACAAAAAAAAAACCAATTAGAATGTATGCAATAATCCGCAATTACAGGGGGTTATAGGACACATAAGATATAAGGTCTCACCAAGAAACCCAATAATAAAGCTCTTACATACATCAGACACAAAATACCTGAAAAAGTATATCACACCCGACCCCTATAACTCTTCCAAAAGCATTACGTATAACATGACTTAGATTCTGCACTTCACTTGGTGGAATTAATATTAGAATCATGATGAAGTCCACCTTATCACAACTCGCACACCCGATTACCTATATATACATGAACTTATGGTTACAGCTTAACAGCTGGCCTCTGTAGCTCAGAGCGCTGCACCGGAATCGCAGGGCTGTAGGTTTGATTCCTACCAGAGGACCTTGTGCTGCATTTTTTGCAGTTGTTCCTGGTTAGGTCTTAAAATGTATATATTCTCACTTGGATTCATTCTAATATTAATTCCACCAAGTGAAGTGCAGAATCTAAGTCATGAAGTCCACCTTATCACAACCCGCAAACCTGATTACCTATATATACATGAACTTACGGTTACAGCTTAACGGCTGGCCTCTGTAGCTCAGTTGGTTAGAGCGCTGCACCGGAATCACAGGGCCGTAGGTTTGATTCCTACCAGAGGACCTTGTGCTGCATTTTTCGCAGTCGTTCCTGGTTAGGTCTTAAAATGTATATATTCTCACTTGGATTCCAAACCCTAACATTCTAATATTAAGTATAACATACCAATATACAGTAATATTTTGAAAAATCAAAATATATGCTGCCTCGCAACAAACTCTCCTAAAAATAAGCTCACTAAAAGCACACAAATATTATTCAAATTTACAGTATACTGTATCATAAGAAAAATAAATACAAAATTGGAAACATGAATTTCCATAGCCTGGTACAAGTGATTCAGGCAGACTACATAAAAACATAATACATGATATACATATAACTATACGATCTTATTTAACCCATTAAGCACCAGAGCTCTCCCCTTTACGAGTAGAATAGGCGTTCGACAGAGTAGAGTAATAAAGTTCAAAATCATTTTGTTTGAATTACTTCACCTATCTATTTGTTTAAAATTATGTATGGTAGATTCTGTGGTATGAACACTTGCAAAATTACTCAAAAAAATTTAAAATATGTGACATTATGTTGCCTTGACAACACTTGACACAACGCGAGCCTGCGTTCAGTGCTGACCAATTGCTAATAGTTCATGTTAAATCAATGTTTGGAAAATATAGGCAAGGGGTTGCTGCATGCATTTATTTCTAGTTAAGTATTAATTGGACATGCTCATGTCACTAGTGGTATTCATTATATCTTGGTCAGACAAAACAAATTCCACAACCCACAGGTTAAAATAGACATCTTGTGAATTATATCACAAACGATTAATAAATTTTTGCTGCAGCAAGCACAGATTCACCAGAAACATGTAACCTCACGAGTTTACACACCCCAAAACAACACTTTCCTAAAATGATAGCTTTCCTGTATCATTTAATTTTATAACTGGACTTAGCTGATCTGTTCTTATAGTTTTTATATTTTTAGACTTTTTGTTATTCAAGTTTGAAACGAGACCAAGATTGGTAGCGTTTAATTTTGACAATTTAAGAGAATGTAGTTCTGCATTACTGTTTTTCTCTGTATCTCATCCTTAATAAGCCTACCATTTTTAAATTTCAAATTGCCTCTTTCTTTCCTCTTCTATATATTAATAGTTTTTCTTTGGAAAATATCAGTAATCATATTTCTAATCTGTACAGTTCTGTTCCTACACAACATCTTCGCA